TGGAGAGGTTTAAGCTGAGGACTGTAGGTGATGGCCAGTGGAGTTCTGTTGGTTTCTGTCTGCAAAACGGGGGATGTCTGACAAAAAAAGTCTTTAAAATGCTAGTTGCTTCACATTGTTTAATTGCTTAGCATGATGTACTAAATCTTTGAGTTTCTGTATCTACTGCTTTGCTTAAATTCAGTTGCATTGGTGCAGGTTGGATCATCGTTTTCATTCAGGAGCCATCTTATTTTCACACATCACACTTCTTGGTTAAGTGATTTTTCTTCTACGTTTTCATCTGTAAAAATCGTGGGGAAACTTTTGTGAGAACATCATCGATTCAAATCCCTCTTTACAAAAGAAATGTGAAGCCAGGTTAGGGGCAGCTGGGTGACCGCAAGCTTGCTCCTGCTCTTTCTCACACCAGTGTAAATAAGAATCCATGACAGTCAGTGACATTACACCAGTGTAAAATGGGTGTCAATTAGATCAGAACCAGGCCATGTGTATCTGTTTGGATACAGTACAGGCAAAGCACAGACTGTAATGTGCCAGCTTCCCCTGCATAGCCCTGCCAAGGTACCTCAGCTCTGACCTAGTGGAACTGTCTCTAGGGCCGAGGGGGATTCTGTCACAGTGGTTCCATAGTGGCTGGTGTACGCTACAAAGGCTTTACCAATACCATATAACTGCACTGGCAAAGCCCTGATGGAGACCCAGCGTGTTCCGACAAGAGGCATTCTCTGCCGTTATAGTTCATAGATTCCTACATTCCAGGGCCAGAAGGGACCATTGTGAGCATCTAGTCTCACCTCCTGTGTGACACAGGCCATTAAACTTGCTCAAAATAATTCCTTTTGAACTAGAGCATATCTTAAATTAAAATAAAAAAATCCCACAGTGTTTTGAAAATGGTTAGTGATGGAGAATCCACCATGGCCCTTGTTCCAATGGTTAGTTACCTTCACTGTTAAAAACGTACATCTTATTCCAGTCTGAATAGTTAAACCATCTCTCCGAACAACATAAACCATCCAGGCAAAACTGCCCCTTTGCCAGAATAAGCTGCAGCTACATAGCTGTTTTGCCGGAATAGGTATGATTATTTTTTTTCACACCCCAATCAATATAGCTATGCTGGCCAAACTTTACAGGGCAGACCTGGCTTCTGTCTGTAGCCTGTTGGTTCACGCTGCCAGTGATGAGGTGCAATGGGAGAGCTGGGTGGGTTGCCAGGACTGGAAGCGAAAAGGACAATGCAGATGACTATAGAGGGGCAGAAGCTGAGTTTTGGTAGGTTTAACATGCATGGATAGAGCTGTGTGGCGGTTTTAAGGAGTGATTGGGGGAGGGTGGCAGCTCTGAAAAAAGGAGGTCCGGGGTCCATCAGCTGAGCTGTATGGTGTCCCAGGACTGGCAGTGGGTGCTTCAGATCAGGAGGTAGGTACACAGCTATGTGTGCTCCCGAAATATATTCACTTGGATTGCTGCAGGTCAGAACTGAGGTGTGTTTGGCAGGGCTGCAGGGGAGAAGCACATATAACCAGTCCATGTAATGCACGACATTGGGTTCTTATCAGCTTTTCATTGTGAAGGGCACTAAAATGTAACAAAGCAATCACATCACATAGATATTGGGCTAAATTCAACCCTGGCACAACGCCACTAATTTCAGCTGAATTACACACTGGATGAACTTGACCGATGATTAGATAAAATATGAACAGTGGAAAGGCTTACATTGTCTCAAAATTGGAAGGAGGGTCCTTAATAGGTCTGCAAAACTCCCTCTGGCCATTGCTAGGAAAATAAAGGGGGAAGGGGATTGGCATTAGAAAATGTACGAAACCATTAGATGATTTAATTTCAGGAACTATATTGCATCATTGAAAACAGATTTTAGCAGTGCTGCCTTCACCGTGTTGACCAAGACAATGAATGAGAGGCAACATCCCATTGTGAACTCAGACACAGGAAAGGACTACGTTTTGATTTTGACTGGGGCCAGTCACGTGTTTTGGTGCATGCTTCCCTGGTTATTTGTATACAAGTGCTGTCTTGTGTGCTTTTGAAATTCTTTCTCTGGGCTGGATTTGGCACTGCTACCCAATGCTTTACTTTAAATGCCATCTGAAATTTAGCAAGAGATTAATCCTTTGCCTGGCTTGAGACTAATGGCAAAAGGAAACATTTTCAAATATGCCTATGTTACTTAGGAGCCCTGGTCCCACTGACTTTCAGCGGGTCTCAAAAAACATCTCCTTGGGACGTATTTCTCTGTTAATGGAGGGGCTGGACTTTACTGGGGGAAGAATTAGACCGTTGGGGCTGGGAGTTACACCTCTCCAACATCATTATTTCGCATTGTAAGACACATTCTATGGATATGACTGTAAAACACAGGGTACTTTAGTGCAGGAAAAAGATACCCTTGATTGCCTGGAGGATGAGCAGGGACACTCTACTCTCCTGCTGTCTCCATTACAATTTCTCATTCTCTTTAGGGGGTGCAAGGTAAGGTCCGTTGGGTGTTACAGGTTTGCCTTTGTTCATTTGTACGGAATCAGTCTCCACCAAGGATCATGCAAACTTCCTATTACGTTCTTGGGTGTAGCATTAAGTGTTGGGTTTCAGTCATGAGGACGTATGGGCTGGAATGGACTCTACCTGGTTTGTAGCATGGAGGGGTTCAAGTGCACACAAATACTGGCTAAATCAAGCCAGTAAACTCAAGAGGAGATTAAGGATTTGTCTACACTCCTAACTCAGATTAAAATAGCGGTGAAGATGCAGCCACTCTGGTTTTAATTTGGGATAGTAGCTAGAGTGCAGGCCTAAAGGGATATGTCTACACTGCAGCTAGGCACAAGCCTCCCAACCTGGGTAGGCAGACTTGTGCTAGTAAGAGCAGTGTGGACATTGCTCGGGCTCTCGAGCCCACCTGACTCCTGGGTGTGAGCTCGGGTGATCGGCCCGATTCTTGCTGGAGCTACAACATCCACATGGCTAGTTTCAGTGTTATAGCTTGAGCCCAGCTACTGTGAGTCTGTCTGCCCAGGCTGGGAGGCTCACATCCAGCTGCCGTGTAGACATACCCCAGGGGAGCCTGGGGTTGAATTTGACATGCTAATCCAAGTTGCCATGTTTTCACTGCTATTTTAACCTGGACAAAGAACTTTTTGTTTGCAGTGTAGACATATCCTTAATAATAAAATAATAATAAATAATGGAGATATCCCATCTCCTAGAACTGGAAGGGACCTTGAAAGGTCATCGAGTCCAGCCCCCTGCCTTCACTAGCAGGACCAAGTACTGATTTTGCCCCAGATCCCCAAGTGGCCCCCTCAAGGATTGAACTCACAACCCTGGGTTTAGCAGGCCAATGCTCAAACCACTGAGCTATCCCTCCCCCCTTAAGCAGCAGCATTCCTCCCTCTTCTAAACTCATGGGATGGGTCTGTACTAGACATTTTAATCTTAAACCTTTTTGTTACCAATTAACGTGGGGTAGCTAACACATTTACAAAGGCTGGCATGGACACTCCCCACATGTTTGTTCCAGGCTACCACCATTAAGTGTGGATTAGCTGAGTTTGTGGTACTAGCTCCTAGCAAGTGACTTTTTGAAACTCAGCAGGTGAAGATGGAACAGACTTCACCCTTAATGTGTGTCAGACTGTACCTCGCTGGCGGTGCCTGTAGTATAGAACAGCTGCAAAACAGCAGAGAACCAGAACGATGAGCACTAGAATGATGGGAATGTGCTCTTCCATGGTCTTTGGAATTTCCTGAGCTTCCATGGTCTTCAGAATTTCCTGATCTGGAAAAAAAACCAGGTGGACTCAAAAACATTATGGTGACAACCAAAGCCGTAGTTTGTTTAAAGCAGTAATTCACAGCAGGATGACTTGTGGGTCCTATGGTACGTTCGGCAGATGTTGATGGTAACTTTTGTGATCTTGTTTTCAGCTTACTTGGAGTAAAATTTTCAAAAGTGCCTATGTGATTTAGGAGCCTCAGTTGACTTCCAGTAAAACATAAGCAGCTACAGGCTAGATCCACAAAGACACTCAGGCACCTTGTTACCTAGTGCAATCCACAGCCCTGAGTTAGGCATCCAACTCTGTATGCAATGCTTGAGGACAGTTAGGAGCCTAAGAAAGGGATCTGCAAAAGCCAGCACGCTGAGCGAGGAGCTGTCTAAGGTCCCCAATGGGAAATACTTTCCCACCAATCTCCATGTGGGATTCACAGTCGTGAATCCTTTCATGGCGTCAGATGCCTAAGCCCTTTCTTGTACAAAATGCACTGCTCGCACTCCTTTGTACTATAAAAAAATCTAGAATAATCTAGCATGTGAAGCAGAAGCATGTGAGATATTATTCAAAAATCTCTGCTTTACCTGCATACAGCTATTCCTGGAACAATATGTTGGTAATGCTCAATAATAATGGCATTAGAACTAGTACTCTGAGAACTGCCAGTCACCCCTTTCCAGCTGGGGAGCAAGAATTCTGCACATGACAACTGCTAATGTTTCATCATCAGGAGACGATTGATTTGTGGCTGAAACTCAAAGTATTTCTGCTATATCTTATACCTGGGTTTGAAGTAAAATGAAGGTAATCGGCGACTGCTTTGTGGGCACTAATGCACTTGGTTTTGCTTCTCTTGGCGTGCACATCATACACCACAGTGCAGCAATACTCGGAGGCAGTTAAGGTGGGTTTCTCATGGAGAGTGCTGGTAAGGCTGGTTAAACCACCTTCTGCTTCCTCAGATACCAGGCTTGCACTGCCCGTCAGGTTAGTCTCGTGGCCATCGAACCAATGGATCTGCCTTTCTCGATGCCCTATAGATGACAGACAGGCGAGCTTTCTTCCGTTTCTAGTTAGGATAGGCTCAATTTCTGGAGCTGAAAGAAACACAGTGTTGATTATGGCTTGTGGAATATCCATTGCTTTTTGAGGGCCTGATCCTGCACCACTGAAATCATTGGATGCAGGATTGGGTCCACAACAACTGAATGATTTCTGCTATTTGCAAGCAACTAGAGTCATCTGAATGTTGCTTTCCCTAGCGATTTCCTCAATGGGGTCCTAATTAACAGCTAACCTATGGGTCAAATTCAGCCTTGGCGTGTGTGGGTAACTCCTCTGAAGTTCAGTCGAGGAAGAATTGGCCCTAGAACTGTGTAACAACAGCCCTGGCTGGATTTCTGTGGGGACAGAGCTAAAGGATCTGGTGCTAGGGTGGATTACAACTGCACCTTATACCATACTGGGGAAAAGGGAAAGTGACAATAAAAGAAAAGTGGATCGAGGAATCACTAAAGATTCTGGAGATGGCAGGGAGTTTATAAACAAAAATAGTTTCTGCCAGGTTGGTTTGGGTGTCTGTTTACACCTGATTGATTTCTCAGAAAGTCTCATTACAGATCCCAGGTCAGACTTTCCACCACAGCTCTACCAATGCATCACAACCCTCTCTGGCAGCATTTATCTATTCCTGTGCTGCTATACATGGGCTAAATAGTGGCTTTGCCCTTGGCAAAAAGCAGCATGTAGCCGCACTGACCCAGGAGCAGACTTGGAACTCAGAGGCTCACAATCTGGTCCCCAGTTTCCTAAGGGCTCAAGGAAGAGGGAAGAGAGGGGGATCTGATTCCCTGTGTGCCGTGAGTTTACCTGTAATCTCAAGGGTTATACATCCATCGTCTTCCCCAGCATCAGAATAAATATACCATTTATAACCTCCTTGATCAGTTGCTTTTACTTCCTGTATGTGCAATTCAGAAACGTTGTGTTGTAGCACCAACTGAATTCTTCCCTTTTCACTGGAATCCTTTCCTTTCCACGTGTTAATAAAACTTTCTGAGCACGAGTTCTGTTCATTACAGTTATCACAGCGCTTAACTACCACATTTGTAATCTTCTTGCTGCCAATGCATGAAATTGCTGCCGTTTTGTTATATTCTGTCTTGACATCACTGCAGATGAAGGGTGCAAGTTCTGAGGGAGGCAGGGGGAAAAGGAACACAAATAAATTATTACTCAAGCAGAAATCATTGAGTGAAAAACAAGTGTTTGATTGCTAAAATATAGAATAGGTTTATGTGTGGAGAAAACTTGTATCCGTTAGAGACCATTTGGCCATATTCTGTCCCAAGTTACACCTGTGGAATTACATCTGGAGTGAATGTGTCCTAAGATGACAGACAACTGATGGCCAGCATTTAAGTCTACTTTATCCAAAGAGCATCTCCAGTGGAGGGAGTAGCACTGTTACCATATTAGCACATCTTAGTCTCAGCTTTAGTCTGGAATCTTGGGGCTCTGTAGACAGGGGTTCTACCAGGAGAGCCAAAGTGGAGCTTCCTTATTGGCTGAGCCAGTGGGAGCAGTAACCGGCCTGTCTGAGCTGCGTGTCACTCTGCAGAGCTTACAGGAGACAAATGGGATATAGCGAGTGCTCTAAAACCGACCTGCTGGCTGATTCCAAACCACACTGGTTGTGGTGGGAGTGGAGCTAGAGGGAAGAGGCGATGCTGTGGTTTGCTGTATCCCTTTAGACTATCAGTACTGTAATGTCTCTTCTTGCCAGGCTACTGATCCCTCTCTGCGAAAGACTCTAGCTTTAGTTCTTTCTAAGTAGCCTAACTTGGTTGCCTCCTTGCCCTCGCCCCAGCTCATTGGGTTGCTGGTTTTAATTGTTAACAGTTCAGCTTTCTCCTTGGAGCATAAAAAATATATTATTGTGTGATGAGAGGCAAACACAGTAAAATGAGGTGACTTACTGCTGTTGGAGGCACTTGAGAAAACAAACAGGAACAGGAGGCAGACAGCTGTTTTCTGG